TTGCTAAAACCAGCCCCACTCCTGCTACAGAGACTGGGAGACAGAGCTCTGTCTTCAGATGTTGGATAACTGTAAACCTCTACTGTGACCTTGGATTTCCTCAAGCTAGTACTTTAAGTGGGAGAGGGGCTCATCATAGGGATACGATGCAACTGTGTTAGTCCACGTCCTACAGACCAAGGCTAAGGCCTAATGGAAAAGAGGTTCCAGAGAGCATTACTAGAGTTTGGGCAAGAAGAGAATCTTTGTCACAGCCAAATTAGCAATGAATATGGATATGATTCAGTATTGATTGTGAACTGGAGGGGATCTGTGATTACCTAGTAGACCAGCCTCCAGGAAGATGCTAGAGAGATGCTCTTAATCAGGCTAATCATAGTGAGAAGAACCAACCTAATAGTGGCTCGCACAGTATCCCTGGGTTGTGTCCTAGACTGTACAAAAAGGTGGAAATGGACTAGAAAGATGGTGTAGTGGGTAAAGATGCTTGCTTTGCAAGCCTGAGAACCTGAGTTCAAGCCCCAGAACCCACAGAAAGGAGGAAAGAATAGGGTCTACAAAATTGTCCTCTCACCTCCATATGTACCACTGTGGCACATATGCTATATGTGCAAGTGCACACACACACACACACATATATATGCTCACAACCACTATATATGTATATGTATATATATGCATATATTTTTTAATTTAAAAAGAAAGCTAGCTTAGTAGAGGTAGTCACTGGTCTCTGCATCCTTACTACGGATGCAGTATGACCAACTGCTTTAAACTTTTGCCATCTTGACCTTCCCACAACAATTGATTGTACCTTCAAACTGAGAGCCAAAACAAAGTTTCTTCTTTAAGAGGTGTTAGGGTTTTTCTGCTTGTCTTTTAGTCACAGAAATGAGAAAGTAGCTAAGACAACAGAAAAAGTTTGTATACTACAGTTCCAGATTTAAAAGTCCTCCCTGGATCTACACACAGCTCAGAATCAGATTTACAGTAAACATGGTAAGATTTGTTAACTGTCCCAAGCCACAGCAGCTTCTCCCAAAACCTAGAGCCCCCCACCCTCTCTGATGGGTTATCACACATAAGCAAGCATTTCACACTCAAACACAAACATCCCATATAGGCAAGCAACGAGGGAAAGAGGAGGTGGGACTCTTTTTCTCTACTTCAGATTCAAACAGCGTGCCTCTTTCCAGGGAGACCTTGGTTATTCCAAGCATGCCCTGAGCCAAGAAATTCATCAGAGTGTCTGTGGCTACCTCATTGTAACACTCTCCTTCACTTTCAGAAACCATCTCAAATTAGAAAACAAGTATCCAGGAAACCCAAGTGCCTGTGATTCGACATTATAAACAGCCTTTAGAACTAACTGTACCTTTCTCCCTCCAAGGATGCCCAGAGGAGAACACACACCGTGGATTCGCACATTCAGTGCACAGGCAGAAAGTTCACAACACTGCTCTGTGGTCCTGAATACAGAACACCTCTGCTAGCGCAGGCTAGATTCAAACGTTTTAAGCAAACCAGATCAATAAGTAATACTGTTTAATCAGATATGGCTTATAAACATGCTCAGGAAGCTATCCTATGAAAGCAACAAACATAAACCCTTATAATACGACACTTTCTCTGCTGCCAAATTCTGCAAGTGGGCAAAGCTTAGGGCAAAACTTCATAGATCTCTATCTTATAAAATAGATGTTTATCAAATATCAGACAGTTGTTAGCTGGGTGGAAGATACTCAGCCTCCAACACAGACACAAAGAGACTAAATCTGGAGGAAAATTGATGTTTGCAGCTCACTTATTGCTCTGACATTTAAAACCCTGAATGAGGACAAAACTCTTTGTCTACTCCTAATAACATTTTGAAAATTTGTGTGTGGGAGGTATTTTGTATGTGTTTGTGTTGGGTGGGTGCACTTGTGCACGTGGGTGTGCACACATAAATGCACAGAGAAGCCAGACGTTGACGCTGGTTGACTTCCTTAATCGCTCCCAACTGATTTTTTCATGACAGGGTCTTTCACTGAACCTGGAGTTCATCAATTAAGCTAGGCTAGCTGGCCAGGAATCCTCCTATCTCTGGATCCCTTGTACTGGGATTACAGAACAATGTCACTGAGCCTGGCTTTTTCTGTAGGTGTTGAGTTCAAGCTTGTATAGAAAGCTTCTTTACCTACTGAGTTGTTGCCAAACTTCACCATAGCTTTTTCTAAGTATGTAACAGTACCCAGTCAATAAATCTTTATGATTTAATGTAATAATATACATTACATAGACATGATAAATTTTGAGGTTGGAATGTAAGAAATCAGGAAATTTAATGTGTCTGTAGCCGTATGAATTTGACTCCATCTCCCAAACCTCTAAATATATTGATTACACAGAGGAAGATCTTTGTAGCCCAGTAGACTTCCATTCATTTGGAAAAATGAAGAAACATGAGTTCTTTTTTTTCTTTTTTCCTCTTTTTTTAGTGCTAAATACTCTTTATTTGATATATAATATCAAATAGACCAGAGTAAGTGCCTTTCAGTGGTAAAAGGCAACATCCTTTGACTTAGGGAATTATAACTAAAATGACATCATCAAGTCAAGAATAGACAGTTACTTCCTGATGTTTAGCCATTGCCTGTAACAGACCAGTAAATATAAACCAAAACACAAGTGTGTCTTCTCATTTCTGAGACAGTGACAGGTTTTTTCCCAGTGTTTAAACAGTCATATGCCCAGTTATATAAATTTAAGTATAAAACCATTCAATTGGTTTGAGGTGATACCTCCATTTTTGTGGAAAGTATAACTTTAATAATTAAGTCCACTCCTATATTGAGAAATGGAGAGCAGTGTTAGTATTTATGCAACTGGAACTGTTATTTTTAAAAAGATCATATCTACTTTACTATAAGTCAGGATTGTCCAACAAAAACATTATTAGCCATTCAGGATCTGAATTTTGGTGTAAGAATTAAATTATGGTACACACTAAAAGTCATGAGACATTTATTTTGTAATAACTAAGGCAGCAAAATTACTCATTAGTAGCTTTTTAAAGATAAGCTATTAGGTCCATCTTCTTAATTCCAGCAAAGATCGTTTTTGTTCCAGGGATGCACTTTTTGGGATTCTCCAAATACTCCATCAGAATTCCCTCTGCCCGGGTGATACCTTTGTTCTTGTTGGCATCTGTGTAGGAGAATCCAGCAGCCTGACCTGTCTTCCTCCCAAACAGACCGTGGGGATTTGGTCCCCATGCTTGTCTCTCTTTTCCACAGCATGGCACTGGGCATACTTCTGAACAAAAATCTTCTTGCCCTTCTCAGCATCGCCCGTTTTTAATTCACTCCCAGGTGGTCAGCACCACAATCGCTGGGACCAGAAGACTGATGTCCCACTCTCTCAGAAACATGAGTTCTAAGGATAACAGTGAATATAAAACTCCACTCTTTAGAATCGTCTCTCATTTTATTGCTGTGCTTCCAAATGAGAACCTGCTTCTTTTTGTTTCCTGAGATCCTGGAAACAGTTCTGATATTTTTGATTGTGAGCCTAGCCTTTAATGGCTGGGACATTTCTCCAGGGCCCGGCAAAAGTTTTTTCCCTATTTTTTAATTTAAATTAGAAACAAGCTTGTTTTATATGTCAATCACAGTTCCCTCTCTCTTCCCTTCTACCCTGTCCCCCCCCCAGCCTCCTATCCCATCCCCTTCCTGCTCTCCAGGGAGGGTGAGGCCTTCCGTGGGGGATCTTCAAAGTCTGTCATATCATTTGGAGCAGGGCCTAGGGCCTCCCCCATGTGTCTAAGCTGAGAGAACATCCCTCCATGTGGAATGGGCTTCCAAAGTCCATTTAGATGCCAAGGATAAATACTGATCCACTACTAAAGGCCTCACAGATTACACAGGCCTCCTAACTGACACCCATGTTCAGGTGGTCTGGGTCAGTCCTATGCTGGTTTCCCAGCTATCAGTCTGGAGCCCATGAGCTCCTCCCTTGTTCAGGTCAGCTGTTTCTGTGGGTTTTTTCCAGCCTGGTCTTGACCCATTTGCTCATTACTCCTCCCTCTCTGCAACTGGATTCCAGGAGTTCAGCTCAGTGCTTAGTTGTGGGTGTCTGCTTCTGTTTCCATCAGCTACTGGATGAAGGCTCTAGGATGGCATATAAGGCATCATCAATCTCATTATCAGGAAAGGGCATTTAAGGTAGCCTCTCCACTATTACTTAGATTGTTAGTTGGTGTCATCCTTGTAGATCTCTGGCTGGCAAAAGTTCTTAAGGAGAAAATTTACCCCCAAATGGTGGTGTCACTAAGACACAACAATAAAGAGATGAATGATCCCTTTGCAATGCAGACTCACTGTGCACTTTCTCTTGGTTGTGCTGGTATACCTTCTGGGGTTGGAATATATAGCAAAGAACAAGTCAACAAAGATGTCTTCCAGCAGATACTACTGAGGAATCTTCCCTTTGGATTTCTCATTGCAGACAGAAGTTTCTGTCCCACCTGGTCCTGCAGCTGCTTAGTCCCAAATTAGCACACAGATGCTTGTAATAATTCTAAACTGTTTGGCCGATGGTTCAGGCTTCTTGTTGGCTAGCTCTCTCTTAATTATTAAGTCATTTCTGTTCATCTGTGTATCTCTGCATGGTCTTTGCTTACTAGTGATGCCTGGATTTCCTGCTTCCTCGGCAGCTACTTGCCATCTCCCTGACTCCAGCTAACTACCTTTCTCTATCCCTGTTTGGATTTCCTGCTGGCTAAATCCTGCCTGTCCATTGGCCCAAACAGCTTTATTCATCAACCAATTAGAGAAACATATATTCACAGCATACAGAAGGACATTCCCCATCACCTCGTCATTGGGTGTTTAGGTACCTGGAAGTGAAGGAACCAAATGTGAGTTAAAACCATCCAATATTTATTAAGGAAACACCTGCATTTAAAGGATTCTGGCCTTTAAAACGGTATCTCATACAATGCCCACACCATCCAAGAGTAAGTAGAATTCTCATTTTATTCAGGAGGTCAAACTTTGTATAAACACATAAACAGCCAATAGTTGACAGCATCTACAAAATGGGATAGTTTCCTTAAGCACTGCCCTGTATTCATTAAGAGCCCAATGGGCAAAATATTATTTCTTTTTTTAAATGCAATTTTCATATAATTTTAATATTCTTCAGCTAATTAAAAAATAACAAAATTTACATCTCAGCACAAAACACCCTTAATAGTGAAAACAATTACATACAAAAAGAGCAAAAAAGCAATATTGAAGCTGTTACTATATCTAATGAAAAATATGCTATAGAGTATTAGTAAGAAAATATGTCACTATAAAGTTCTTTTGTTTAAGACTAAGACACGCTAGATGGAACATGAACCATAGAGAGTACATTAACCACCAGTTTATTACAGGGCGGGAGAGTGAGGAGAGACAAGAAGAGACAAAGAGGGTGAGAGAAGAGAGAAGGGAGAGGAGAGTCGGGAGGGGCGATCATCCAGCGGTGCTCACTTAAAGGGGAAGCTTGCGCATGCGTACTGAGTCCTTATGCAGCAGCTCCACAAGGAGTGACACAGGGATAATGTGGCCACACCACTGTTCGGGCCCCACCTGTTGTCAGGGGACGGGGTCAGCGCGGTGTTTAGTTTCAACAATCTCACCTCTTATTATTATTAAAACGGTGGGGAGTTGGGCGTGGCAAGTTAGGAAATAAGCAAATTAAGGAGTTCTTAAGACTGCTTCCTGCTGACCTGGGGGGCGTTGAACATCTTTGGGGTGTCTGAGAAAGCTGGGGTGATGCCACATCCTAGGTAGCTGGTTATTTCAATGAAGTCCAGGCTGTAGGGAACTCCGGCATCTCTGTAGACCCAGTGGCAGTGAATTGGTAGATGAAAAAAGTGTGTTGTTGGTTCGAGAGAAGGATCCCCGAGTCTCTTGCAGCTGCCACGGGGAAAGCCTCCCGGGTTTCACGGCATCCATGTTGTTCTTTTGTTTAAGAATGTTTATTACAGGTGGGGAGAGCGAGAGCAAGCTAGAGTGAACGAAAGAGAGAGAGAGAGAGAGAGAGAGAGAGAGAGAGAGAGAGAGAGAGAGAGAGAGAGAGAGAGAGAGAGAGAGAGGAGACACAAAGAGGGTAAGAGAAGAGATAAGAGTTCAAAATATTATTTCAATGATCATTTTTCCTGTTGACGTAATTCGGGCATAGGTGGCTTTCTTGGGAGTCACTTAGCAAAGAGCAGGGCCAGAATTTAACCCCTTCAAACCCTGCTTTCTTTCCACTATCCTATGTTGCTTCCACCCAGCATCTGGCCTGCGTATTTTAAAGAAGATGCAGTGTCTCCCTTTATATTTAATAAGACAAATATAAGAGAAAATTCACAGGACTAAGAGATATCATTTTGAGGTTTTGTCTTTTTACTGAAAGGATACGAGAGGCATTGTGCTGGTCGAAGAGAATGGGTTTGGGGCTTTCGAGAAGGCACAGGAAGGTCGGCCACTGCCTGAGGGACAATGGTTCTACTCAGTCTGCTAGGACAAAGAGTCTTGTACCCACAGCTCCAGGAAGGAAAAACCTCAGCACAGGGCGTAAGCGGCAGTTCCTTCTTCCCAACAAGAAGCACAGTAGTGAGAGCCTTCAGATATGGACTCGGAACCCCTGGTCCTTACCCCACCATCCTTACTGTATTGACCTCCTCTCCAGAAGATACTGATCTGCCTCGAAGGCAGAAACCAGAGAGGAGACCCTGCATCAGCCACACTGGTCCCACATCCGGTTTCTCAGACCCTCTGTCCCCTGGTGGGCCTTCACCTAGGTTCCACTGACCGGTGGTGTGGGTGTTGGCCGTCTCAGGGGACACCGTGGCTGCAAAGCAGGGCTGGCTGGACACACTTTGCCCCTGCAGAACTGCAGGAGGTTTGGTGGTATGGGGGTCAGACACAGGGTAGGCTTTGGCCTTGGTTAGGATGCTGTTGGCGGTTGGGAACCTAGAGTAAGTGCACTCGGGAAAAGGAGGCGAGCTTCGCTGGGGTGGAATACCGTCCAGGCATTTATCTTTGTCCGTTAACATGTTTGTGGCTCCTTCTTCATTCTGCATCCCCCCCCCCGCCCCCGCTCCCACCCCACCTCCACCCCGACAATGAACCTTTGGGCTAAGTACTGTCATCTCAGTTGACTCGCTAGTTTTGTTTTTTATCCCTCACAAATGAAATAAAGATTAATGAAATAACGAGATGAGGTCACTCTACGTGGGTATCAACTAGTGAGGCCATTGACTCCGGTGGCCGGGAACATTTGCTGCTTCAGAGAATAGCGTGCTCAGGGGCTCAGGGAAGGACTGCCGGCCTGGGTACTGGAACCCAACCACCCACGTTACCCCGAAGGCCAAACAAGAGGACTCAGAGCCGGCTAATGGCTCCTGGGTTTGGGAGCCCCGTGGCTTTGAAGTAACCCCACGGAGCCCTGTGTAACCGCAGCTCAGGCTTTCCTTCCTTCTCTCCGCAGAGCCAGCTCTCCCAGGCGCTGAACGGATTGTCAGACAGGGCCAAAGAAGCCAAGGAGTTCCTGGTGCAACTCCGCAGCATGGTGCAACAGATCCAGGTACCGGGTGGGGGGGTGCGGGGGTGAAGGGAGTCGGGGTGGGGGTGCGGGGGGCGGGCAGCGCAGGCTGACCGCAACCAAAGCCGGATGACACCCTCTGACTTGATGTGTTCTGAGGAAATCCCTCTTTCTTTCTGCCCTGTCCCTGCTACGCAGACAGACATACACAGAGGTTACCCTCATATGGGCTGTTTCTTGAGGTAGCTCTTTTGTCCACAAGGCAGGGTTGCCTGACTCAGGTGCTTCCTGCCTTCCACTCTGAGGCCCTGAGTCGGCTACCACATTGCATTTAGAGAGAGGCACGTTTCTTTGCGAACCGAGTTTCTAAGGTTCTATAGGTCCCCAAGCCCCGTTTCGCTTAACATTAATCATTTCCTTTCTTCTTCTTTCTCTCTCCCTCCCTTCTCCCTCTCTTTTTTCCTTTCTCCCTGTTCTATCATAATGTTTCTTTCATCTCAGACACTTAGGTATTTTCTAGCCTGAGTCCCCTGCTGACTATACTTTAGATTGCTTTATTAGGACACAGTGACCAGCAGGTCAGTCAGCACTTGAGAATGCATAAATTTCCCACTGTAGCCAAAGGGGAGAAACAGTAAAACACATGAGACAACAAAATAATGACCCTTCTGCACCATTTGCCATTCTTACATGTTTTGAGGTTTGCCTCACAGAAATAGCCTTAACTCTGCCCTCCGGTAAATTGGCTTTCTGAGGGACTAACCTGTGTCAAAGCAGAAATGGATTTCTAATGTAAGCCAGCCTTTCACAGTGCAGCACACCGGTTCCGTTGCCTTCTCCCCTTTTTGTATGCATGCCCGTGTTCAAACTGTTGGTTCCCCAGCAGTTCTGTACACTTCCTTCTGTTTTCCAAAGCAACAGCATTTGTCAATCAGCCCTTTCTTTGCATTTGCTGGCACAAACGTTGCAGCCCAGGCTTGCCCCCGCCTTGCCTTTCTGTCAGAGCAAAGTGTTCTTTCCATGAGAAAACAGCAGCAGAGTCTTCAAGGGAAGGCTCCCTCCCACCATCGCTCCACACAGGGCACAGCAAGCCCTTAAATGATTCCTCAAGGACGTTCTCCGAGAATTCAAGATGGTTGCCAGGAGAGCAGAAATTAGCATCCATAGGAGCTGCTGTTCCATCTAATTCGATCTCAGACAAAGACCCTGTGCTTGAAGAAAGCTGCTGAATTAAATCAAAGACCTTTAATATGTGCCTATAATTCAGAACTGCTAAGAACTATATGGTTAAAGTCAAGGAAAAACTACCACAGCCAGCATTCAACTTAAATATCAGGGGACTACACTTTCTTCATTCTGTAGCTTTCTCCCTTTCTTCAGGAAGCTACGAGAAAATGTTACCAATATGAGTTGTTCTCTACTATTGCCTTTCTTCATGCAGGGACACCTGCTCTTGGCCATTGTCCTTAGACTGTATGCTACCATTGGATGGCAACATTGTATCATTGTATAATGTGGGGGACTTTTGTCATCCCCTCTTCTTTCTTCTGTTAAATTTAGTAACCCTTTCTCTCCTGACCCGACTCTACTCTCTTCCTCCTAGACACCACTGCAGAACTGAGCACATGTAGTGGACTTGTATACCACCCTACAAGCCAAAAACTTATTATGCTTATTATAATTCAATAAGCAGAGAAGATTTCTTTTGACAAAAATTAATTTAAGTAACACATACCTACCTTTTTCCTTATAGATTTAATGCAAAACACTCGCACTACAGAATACAGCTTACCAGTGATTTGGAAATAGTGTGCTCTATGGACAGGGTTCCTTCCCGTCTCTTCAGTAGGAAGGACTGAGATACTCTGCTTTCTCTGAGTACCCAAGCTCCCCGTACATGTGTCTGAGAAGTGTGCTTTCTCAATTCAGGAAAACAGTGTGGAGTTTGAGGCCTGCCTGGTGGCCCAGTGTGATGCTCTCATTGACGCCCTAAATCGAAGGAAGGCGCAGCTGTTGGCCCGGGTCAACAAGGAACATGAGCACAAGCTGAAGGTGAGTGGCCCCTTGGGGACAGTGGGAAGCAACAGTCCAGCCTCCCAGGGCAATGGTGGGCAGTCACAGGAGGACACCATTCCTCACCCGTGTGGTCTGGCCAGACAGGCGCAGGCACATTCTTCATTATCCATTTACTCTTCCTGTTTCTTAACCAAAATGTGCTGGGTTAGTTCTCTGGGCCAGGATCTGTTCTGGGGGGTGCAAACAACACTCTCAGGAGTAAGCAGGGCATTCAAGGAAAATAAATCATAAGCTAGTTTTTTTTTTAAGACAAGAAGAGGGGATAGTGAATCCTAGGAACAGGATTGAAAGCTTAGATGCAGATGGCCACACATAGGCAAAAACATGTTCTTGAGTAGGTAAATCAAGTATATGTTTTTAAAATAAAATTTGTTTACAAACTTTTCAATCTAAACTTTGGCCTCTACATAGTAAAAGCAATGCATTATGAGTCTGGGGTCCCATTGACAGGACTGGTCATAGAGACGTGTGATAACCTGCCTGTCACCCACTCGCAACAAGATGGGGAGAGGGAGCAGGAGGAGTCCAGCGTTGAGCAGTCACCTAAGGGCCACACACATGGCCAACAGACCTCAGGCCTGGTGAGGAGGAGAGTGTACATGACAGCCTGCGGTGAAAGTAGGAGAAGCAAGCTCCAATCAAGGCTGTCTGCTGATGCCAGGAGATATATGGACCACTTTAGGGGACCTAGTGGCAGGTCAATGGCCCAGTGACAAATATTACCCAGCAGGTCAGTTACCTAACCAGACCTTCAAGATCAAGAGAATTCCCATTTCTAAAATCAGGTTCCAGTAAGTGAACCAAGGAAGTTTCAATAATGAAGAAGAGGATGAGCACGGTGTCAAGGCCCCAGCTGCAGCCTGCCCTCCATGTCCCCCTCTCCATGTCCCCCTCTCCATGTCCCCCCTCTCCATGTCCCCCATCTCCATGTCCCCCCTCTCCATGTCCCCCCTCTCCATGTCCCCCCTCTCCATGTCCCTGCTCCCCATGTCCCCCCTCTCCATGTCCCCCTGAAAGACCCCAGAGGAGTGTTTTCTCTTCAGGAAGACCCTTCCCAAGGATCAGCCGAGACCACGGATTGGATGCAAACTGCAAGAGGCTTTATTGCTCACACACGGGTACCCGGGCGTCTTGGTCTCTCGGGAACCAAGCGCCCCGAGCAAGAAAACGGGGCCCTTTTTATAGCAACAAGCGTGGTACAGAAGCGAAGTGCACGGTTAGAGTCCCTATTGGTTAGTTTAAATGAGGCGAGGGGTGAGCTTTAGAACAGCCGACTCGGGTACAAGGAAGTCAGATAAGGCTGACTAGGCTCAATCTAGGATACACAGTGGTCGGGACATTCTCGGAGCTACCCGCCCTCATCACCAGGTGGCTAACCATAGATATCCTGTTTGGTAATTACCCTGGCACCAGGGCCCCTGACCTGAGTCCGAACTTCCTCAGCACCAGGTGGCCAACTACAGATATCCTGGTTGGTAATCACTCTGGCGCCAGGGCCCTTAGCCTGAATCTGAACTCATGGTTACTTTTTAGACAGATGTTTCTTGCGGTTGGGGTCTTTCACCCCCTCTCCATGTCCCTGCTCTCCATGTCCCCCCTCTCCATGTCCTCCCTCCATGTCCCCCCTCTCCATGTCCCCCCTCCATGTCCCCTCCTCCATGTCCCCCCCTCCATGTCCCCCCTCTCCATGTCCCCCCTCCATGTCCCCCCTCTCCATGTCCCCCCTCTCCATGTCCCTGCTCCCCATGTCCCCCTCTCCATGTCCCCCCTCCATGTCCCCCTCTCCATGTCCCCCCTCTCCATGTCCCCCTCTCCATGTCCCCCCTCTCCATGTCCCTGCTCCCCATGTCCCCCTCTCCATGTCCCCCTCTCCATGTCCCCCCTCTCCATGTCCCCCTCTCCATGTCCCCCTCCATGTCCCCCTCTCCATGTCCCCCTCTCCATGTCCCTGCTCCCCATGTCCCCCCTCTCCATGTCCCCCTCCATGTCCCCCCTCTCCATGTCCCCCTCTCCATGTCCCCCTCCACGTCCCCCTCTCCATGTCCCCCCTCTCCATGTCCCCCTCTCCATGTCCCCCCTCCATGTCCCCCTCTCCATGTCCCTGCTCCCCATGTCCCCCCTCTCCATGTCCCTGCTCTCCATGTCCCTGCTCCCCATGTCCCTGCTCTCCATGTCCCCCCTCTCCATGTCCCCCTCTCCATGTCCCCCCTCTCCATGTCCCCCCTCTCCATGTCCCCCCTCTCCATGTCCCCCCTCTCCATGTCCCCCCTCTCCATGTCCCTGCTCCCCATGTCCCTGCTCTCCATGTCCCCCCTCTCCATGTCCCCACTCTCCATGTCCCCCTCTCCATGTCCCTGCTCTCCATGTCCCTGCTCCCCATGTCCCTGCTCTCCATGTCCCTGCTCTCCATGTCCCCCTCTCCATGTCCCCACTCTCCATGTCCCCCCTCTCCATGTCCCTGCTCTCCATGTCCCTGCTCTCCATGTCCCTGCTCCCCATGTCCCTGCTCTCCATGTCCCCCTCTCCATGTCCCCCCTCTCCATGTCCCCCCTCTCCATGTCCCCCCTCTCCATGTCCCTGTTCCCCATGTCCCTGCTCTCCATGTCCCCCCTCTCCATGTCCCCACTCTCCATGTCCCCCTACCTCTTGCCATCTGCAGCTCCTCAAAGAGTGTTCAGAGCTACATAGACGCTGCTTTCCTGACCTAAGTCAGCACCGCAGCATGGTGGGGATGAAAACCTTTCTCCCTGCCTTCTGACTTGGATTGTCACTCAGGGGACACTGTAGAATTGAGGCAAGCAGCAGGCTGTGCTGTGGCAAGGTCCATCCAAACAGGAAGGGCTCATGAGAGCTGACCCCCAGCCCGTGCTCGCTGATACCATACCTCTTTGGCATCTGCAGACAGCTACAGCACAATGCAGTCAAGGAGCCAGATATTCCTGGGGAAAGAAAACTGCAGACATGGAAACAGCATATACACCTAGGATTGGGATGGGGGCAGGAATCAGTGGCGGTAGTGTTGAAGAACCTGTGGGTTTGGGTAGCAAACCAAGCCTGGTAACCTCAATGCTCATTTGAGAGCAGCCACACACACCCATGGCGGTCAGTCTAGCGAGAAGGCTCTTGCCATGTTCGTCTCAGGATGAACTCCTAAGGAATGCCAAAGAAACCCCTTCCACAAGGAACCTTTGAACAGAAGCTGAGGGGAATAAGGCTTGGCTCTCCCAGGGGTGCACCTTCTATGGCCTGTGTATGGCAGTCTGCAGAGTCCCAGATGATGGAGTCCCTCCTACACGCCCCTCTCCTGGTCACCGTCTGCATCCTGAGCATCGTCTCCTCTTGTGGTGTCTAGTTATTAGCCTGTGAATTCCTTAAAGGGACACTGAGCTGTGACTCATGGCAGCATGTGTACTAACTCCTTAAATGTGAGGAGAAACTGAGGGAAATCAGAGACAAGCTGTTCTGAAAGTGTCACTGTGTGGGCATCTGTGTTACAGGCTTACCTAACAGTGTGGGAAAAGGCTTGACTCTATAAACATTTCTCTCAGAGTCAGGTTAGATCTGAGTGACCTTTCTTTTTTGAGAGTCACTTTTCTCTGAAGTAAAATCTCAGCCTGCTACAGAACACCATTCTGCAGCTGTTGTACAGAACACAGAAGAGCATCCTTGCCTTTGATCCTAGCAGTAGTGAAAGTCTGAAGAGATATTCTTCATGGAGACAGTGTAGGGGTTATATGATAGGGATCACCTCAACAGTTTTCACAGCAGCCCTGTGGGGTCACTATCACTATTATTCATACTCTAGAGAGGAGGGAATGATAACAACATGAATTCAGAACTGGCCCCCAGGAGCCAAGGAACCACAGAGCCCAGGATCTGAACAAAAGCTCCCCACTGCTCTTGGTAGAAGTTCCGTCCAGAGACCAGGCGTTTCTCCTCAGCCAGCCAGTAGCTAATGTATGCCTGTGAGGGTTGAGTGTGAGAATGGGTACGGAGGAGGGAGGGACACAGTGGTGACTCAGGAAGAGCCTTGACTAATGGAAGCAATAAACGTTACCTACAAATGGCTCCAGCACAAGTGAACCGCAGCCTTCTGGGAACGAAGTGGTCAGTGCCGTAGACATTGTTAGGACAAGATCACTGGCAACTCTAATCGTCACAGAGCACCTCATGGGAGAGCTGGCGTCATAGCTGCCTACTCTGGAGGAGGTGTGTGCTAACGGCCACTGCATTCCTACCTGTAGGAGGAAAGATGATGGTGATTTTGGGCCAGTCAGTCAGTCCCCAAGACGATAGAGAATTTCTAATAACAAAGCAGCTGCCCCCTGCTCTGTTTTCACTAAATGACTGTCACTGTAACCTTCCTATAACAATCCTCAGAATATCCTGTGCATTTTGGGGATTGCACGTGTGTGTGTGTGTGTGTGTGTGTGTGCGTGTGTGTGTGTGCATGTGTGTTGCTGAGGACTGAACCTAAGGCCTCATACACACTAGGCAATCACTCTACCACTGGTCTACACTGCCACACTCCCTCCTTTTAAAAAATCTGAGACAGAGTCTTGCTGATTGCCTGGGCTGCCCTTAAAGACATACTAGCATAAGTGAGCCTTGAACCTGTGACCCTTCTTCTGCCTCAGCTTCCAGAATAGCTGTGTTCACAGTCTGTGTCACAAGACCTTGCTTCAAAACAGCATCTGAGTCACATAGAGATGAGCAGAACAAAGCTGTGGATGCCTTTGGAGCATGAGCTGGGAAGCTGGAGTTGCTCCCCGGCCCCCCTGAGAACTAGCACAAGTGTTTCAGCACCTACCTGTGAAACTCCAACTTTTCCTCAATGGAGTGTCTTCTTATCAACATTGCAAACACTGGCACACAGCTGTGCATACAGTGACAGGCGTGTGAGGCTGTGTAGTCACTGTAGAGGTGACAATAGTTGCTCTGCAGGGGAGAAACAGAGGTCAGCAATCTCTATGGAA